TGAGGTCAGAGTGAGGTCAGTCTGAGGTCAGAGTGAGGTCACAGTGAGGTCAGTCTGAGGTCAGAGTGAGGTCAGATTGAGGTCAGAGTGAGGTCAGAGTGAGGTCACTGGAGGTCAGATTGAGGTCACAGTGAGGTCACAGTGAGGTCACTGGAGGTCAGAGTGAGGTCAGAGTGAGGTCACAGTGAGGTCAGTCTGAGGTCACTGGAGGTCCAGACAAGAGAGTGAAGAGATGATTCTGTCACTCAAACCAAACCAACTTTATTTATAACACAGGTAAGAACAGAGACAGAGTCACAGCCTGTATCGGTTACAGGAAGCAAATCACCTGAAGTAACTACAAAATAAAAGCAAATGCAATAATAGTGAAACAGCTGAGCCAGTTTTCATCACTGAGGTTTTGTGTGGCAGGTCTGTGATCGATGAAGCTGCAGTCGCTTTGAGAAATGCTGCAGGAAACTACTACGTCAACGATAAATCCACCGGCTCCGTCGTTGCCCAGCAGCCATTTGGTGGCGCCAGAGCTTCAGGTGAGAGTCGTGATCTGGAGTCACAGTGATGCTGCTGCTGCTCTGTCATCTAAACTCTTCTTCCTGTCTTCATCAAGGGACCAACGACAAACCTGGAGGTTCTCACTACGTCCTGAGGTGGACGTCTCCGCAGGTGGTGAAACAGACAAACATCCCCCTCCGTGACTGGAGGTATCCCTACATGGGTTGAGAGCTGTCCAATCCGAGACCTCCGTCCAATCAGCTTCAACCACACAAACAGGTTGTCTCCATCATGTCCCTCTTTGCACTGAACCTGGAGGTGAATGAGAGGTCACGTCTACGTCCACATCATCAACCCACAGAATCATCCTGCAAAGTTACAGCTGAAACGATTGAATGATTAATGTCTTCATCCTCTGTCACATTGTCCTGTTGGAAGATGTCCTCATCTGAAACAACTGATCATTGATAGATCGTTAGACTGTTAAATATCAGAAAACTAATCTATTAATAGTTTTTTCATGTGATCAGTTTGTCTTTTAATTGTGGAGCTTGACATGAAACTGAATCAATATCAGACTAATTCTGTCCTGAATTAAATAAAGTTAGAATTTATAGTTTATTTTACATATGAAACTGAAGATTTGATTGTGTAATATTTGTTGGTTTAAATGTTAAAGAAGCTCCAGTGACGTCGACTTGTTTCGAAACCAAAAACTGCAGCTTCAGTTTGTGACTTTATTTTCATGATGTGACGACGTCTTTAAACCATTTTTCTTCCACTTACGTTTGAAACCTGCTGAAAATATTCTGATAACGTACAAAAACGAGGTCAAAGGTTATTTTTCATGTTGCACTTGAATCTTGAGCTCAAACAAAAGATTTATCATATTTTCATTACTCTGATGCCTTAACAACTGTAATTACACACAGATCGTTTTTTGACAATAAATATTAAATTATTAATAAAACTGCCGTGTTTTATTGGTGAACTTTTTCAACATGTGTTGTGACTGAAGCTGTTTTCAGACATGTTCCTCACATGTTCCTCACATGTTCTGGTGGTTCTGTATGTGAGAAGAAATGTCTGAGTCAGTGTCTCTGGACATTTTTCTGGATCTTCTCCTGCAGCTTCCTGGTAAAATGTGTGGAACCTTCCAAGTAAGCGAGTGGACGTGTTGACGAGGTTTCTAACACGTGATGGACGTGAAACTGTAAGAACACAAATATCTTAGGATGAAGAAGAGGAGCCCTACACGTAGAAGACGTCTGCTACCTTTGCTATGTTTCTAAGGTGGGAAAAAGGTTTTGGTTTCCTTGTTATTGTGAAACTCAGATCAGCGTCTACAATATCCACTTGTCTCTGATTTATTCCAAGGATTCACATTATTTTCCAGTATTTCTCTTTTTGATTTGGGGCCAACTAAAGGTTTTGTGTTTATCCTCATGAAGCTTCAGGAAATTATTGCTCATCCATGTATTTATTGCTGACAGACATTTAGTGATGGAACGAAAAGAGTGTTATAATTCGGCTCAACAGCGATGTACAGTTGTGTTTCATCTGCGTAACTGTGGGAACATTGTGCACTGTGTCACCCTGTGGCAGCATGTACAGTGAGAATTATACTGGTCCAAGGCAGCTGCCCTGTGGAACCTCAAAACAGCTGTTTGTCAGACGTGATCTCCAACGCTGGCTTAGAACTTTTTCCCTTTAATGTACGTTTTGTTCAGGACTCAGTCAGACAAACCACCTTCTCACGACAAGTGAAAAGGACGTCGTGATCAAATCGTATCAAAAGCTCAAGTCCAGGAGGAGAATTAAAACCTTAGTTCCATCCGAGTTTAGTCTGAGGTGATAGTTTCAGTAAGTGCAGGTTCAGTGATGAGAAGGAAACTCGTCCACGATATTTTCTTTTAGGGTTA